TGGGGAAAAAAACTTTAGAATGATCAGCGGGAAGTTGATATAAGGTCATAGCAGGGAAAGGAGATTCATGAGTCAGTTGTGGGCTCAGAGAAAGGGCAGCCTGAAAAGCCCACAGGCTCTTGAATTATGCACTCTAGAGAATAAAACTCACATAGCTAGCATGATTTCTGTAACATAAATCTGTATGTAAATCAAATTTCTATAAATTAATCATGCATTCATGCAAAAACATTTCTTAATTGATGAAAAACACCAATACAAAGTCAGCAAGTATTAAGAATCTCACAAAGAATTTAGATACAGCAATACAAGTGGTGTGGTGTAGAACACTACTTTCTTGGTGAAGCTCAGTTTCTCCAGGGAAGGACACGGGTGAAGATGGACACGGGTGAAGACATCTGTTCTGCAGAATTGAACAAATTTCATGAACCACAGCAACAAAGCTGTTGCCACGGGCTGCCTGCCAGAATATGGACTAGCCCTGTTATATGAAAGCAGATATGAAACAGGCCTTGCTAGAATTTTTTATATGCCAGAAAATGATAAACCACATCCATTGGTATGTAACTACAAATGGAAATTTTTAACCATCAAAATTCAAAAGCACCTAAGTTCAAGTTCCTTGTGCTATATACTTCATATTTTGAAAATCACACTGGGTCCATCTTGAATTATGCACTCTAGAGAATAAAACTCACATAGCTAACATGATTTCTGTAACATAAATCTGTATGTAAATCAAATTTCTATAAATTAATCATGCATTCATCCAAAAACATTTCTTAAGCATTTACTTTGGGGAGCTCTACCGGAAGCAAGAGAGAGACATTCTCACCCCTGGGAGAAGCCATAGCCTGGTGGAGGACACCGACACCCATTCACAAAGAGGAAGGGCAGGGCACTATGAGCGCACAGCAGAAGGGCATCTCTTCCAGAAGCAGAGAGACCAGGGAGGCTTTCTGGAAGAAGTGACATCTGGTGCAAGCCCAGAAGGAGCCAGCCAGGTGAAGAGGAAAAGAGTGAACAGCATGGAGAAAGGTCAGGGGCAAGCTCAAAGAAATTAACTAAGGAAGTTCAAGATGCGCATAAAGGGCCTCCCTGGTGGTGCAAGGGGTTAAGCGCCAAACTATGAAGCAATCCTCAGCCTCTGCAGCATGAGTTTGATCCCCGGCCAGCCAGGGAGCAACCCACATGGCACAGCAGACCTCTCCTGTCTCGCCCGCTGCTCCCCTCAGCAGTGTATTTCAGTCAGTCTACCTGTTCTGCTCCCCACTCTGTCTCTGGTGGATCCTCTCACCCCTCGCATCCTCTCACCCCAGCTCTTGTATGCGTAAATAAATAAATCTTAAAAAAAAAAAAAAAAAAAAAAAAAAAAGATGCGTGTAAAGCAAAAGGAGAGAAAGGGCAAGCAACAAGACTGGAGGCGTAAGAGAAAAGGCCTTGTAAGCCACGTGGAAGTCTGGACTTCATCCAGAGGGCTGCAGGGAGTACGGAAAGGTTTTAACAGCAGGATGACTTGGCTGCAGAAGAGCTGGGGGAAGGGCGAGACAGATGGCAGAGAGAACACTTCGGAGGTTATTGCCGTAATGCAGGTATAAGAGGTGGCAGCCTCCATTCACAGAGTACACACAAGACTGCGTGAAGGGGCAGCTGTGAGGAACATATCAGAAGTAGAATCCTAATTCTTTTCATTGATTTCAAATGTATCATCAATTTGTATTACAAATTCATATCCAGCTGCCAGGGGATACTCTGTATGTTTGCCCAAACTTTAAGGCGTTAGTTACCTAGAAGTAGTCAGCAGACACAATGGAATTGCAGTACTTTGTGACGCCAACATAGATTCAACAGTCCTCTTATCTAATGACAGATGTGTTTCCAGATTCAGAAACGTTCGGATTTTAAAAAGTTGAGATGGTGAACAGACCTGATAGCATGTAACGCCCTCAGGTAGGGTCTGGGATCTCAAACGCATTAATAATTTTGCAGCAAAATGTATAAATAATCACACTGAAGGGAATGAATAAGAATTCAGGTCAGGTTTTGTTGCCAAATAAGTAACAAAAGAACTTGAGGTTATTCCGAGCACTGGGTATCAAAGAATTACAGCTAAGGGATGGTAGGTCTATAATCATATCTTAATTCCTATGCTAAGTTAGCAATTTTATATGAGAACCTGTATCCTTAGCAAGCATTTAACTCCAAAGTACCAAAGTACTTGAGAATCCAGATAAGAAAATAATTACAAGATCCCAATAATAACTAGTTGAGCTACTAAAAAAGGGTATAAAATGTCACTGCACCCAGGTACCAATGTGCTAAGGCAACCAGAATGCCAGAAAACAGCTGTTTAAAGTTCATTCCCATCTTGCAAGATGATGGGTAAAACCCTGGATGGTGCTCATTAACTAAGGAGGCCAACGCCAGTGGCAAAATCCATTGGAAAGCCCCATAACTGGAGGCCCAAAAAAGGAAGCCCCTGCAGTTGGGAGCCTGTCCTGGCAGAGGAATGGCACCTGTGCCCAATCTACAACATATTCCAGGAAGGCTGCATCCAAGCAGAGGTCCCAGCTGTGAAATCTTTGACTGTGACAAGGCCAATTGGTAGGGTCAAGAATGATGACACTGAAGAGTTATGGTTCTCAAAATGCCCAGATGTTACCCTCTTCAACATGTGATTTGAAAAACACCATGGAGAAAACAAAACACCACCCTCAATACAAAGAAAACTAAGCATGAGTGTCACTCCAGGGTCCCTGTGATCTCTGCTGCTGGCCGCCAAGGAGCAAGCAGAGGCTTCCCCGAAGCCACCAGTGACTGGACCACTGGTCCTCACCTGGGTCCTTTACAAGGAACACTCAGTATCTGGCATCCTCATTACCGAAACTGACCTGCAGTGCTGGAGTCCAAAAGCATCTCAACAATGCTTGCCTTCAAAAAGATGCCGCATAAGATGGGAGATCAAGGTGAGCTCTTGGGGCCTCCCTGTTGGCACAGGGGTTAAAGACAGTGCTATCAAGCTATGGCCAGACACTGCAGCATGAGTTCGATCCCCAGCCAGGGAGCTGACGCACATGGCGCAGCAGACCTCTCCTGTCTCACCCACGGCTCCCCTCAGCAGTGTATTTCAGTCAGTCTGCCTGTTCTGCTCCCCATTCTGCCTCCAGTGAGTCCTCTCACCTCCCCCACATCCCAATTCTTGTATGGATAATAAATCTTTTTTTAAAAAAGGAGAAATAGAAAAATGAGCTCATTTATGGAGCAGCACAAGCAGACTTTTGCCAAAAACTAGAGCCCCTCCTAGCCCCAGGACGGCTACTGTTATGTCTTGCCACAAAAACAAACCTTAGGCTCACAAGTTGGAGTTCTAAATCACTTGTCAGGGCACACATTAAAATTTCGCAAGCAACAATAACAAATAAAACTCCTATTTCTTCAAGGTAACTTCTTTTCTGAGGGGTGAATGAAGAAATATGTTAATACGGCCAAATCTGAGGGCTCCACATGACACAGGGAATACAAGGAACATGCTGCACATGCAACCGATGTCCAGGAATACTGGTGAGGCCAGAAACACACCAAGGTCACTTGCGAAGGTCAGGACTCTACACTCCAGTTCTCCAGGAAGGAAAGTGTCCATGACCATATTCGAGGAAAGACACTGCCCCACAGGCCAGTGTGCAGGTTATGAAGAGACGGGGCCCAGGTGAGCCCAGCCTCCCGAGGCGCTTGTGTGAAAACATCCTGGCTTAGAAGTGGGGCCCCAGGAACCTCTCTATCAGCACTGGGTTCCCAACTGATATGAAACCAAAGCCAATCAACTGCTTATTTCAGGTCAGAAATAAAGGCAGTGAAGTCCCAAAATAATGCCCAGCAGAAGTTCAAGATAAATAAGAGTCCAGCTCTCCCATACCCTTGTCACTTACCTGTACCTCCTATAAAAGCTAATATCCATTCAAGGTAACAGGTCAGTCTTTTTCTAAGGGGTGAATTAGGAGTAAAAATTGTTCCTAGGATACTCTTCTTTACTTTGGGAACCTAAACAAGGCTCCCAAAGGAATGATGCATCTTATAAGTCATCCCACATGTACATCAGGGAAATCTCTGGCACAATTCAAACGAATGAGGCAGATCTACATGTACTGACAAGAAGGATGTCTGGGACCAACTGCTGAAAGGCAAAAAAGCAAGCTGAGGGGCAGAGTAGAGAGCAATGTGCTATTTTTGTAAAATGAACTATTTACATGTGTTTTTTTTTTAAATTTTATTTATTTATGCAAGAAAGGGGATACAGGCCAGAGGCACGGGGAGAGTGAGAGAATTCACCAGAGACAGAGCGGGGAGCAGAGCAGGCAGAAGACACTGCTGAGGGGAAGAGTAGGCAAGTCAGGAGAGGTCTGCTGTGCCATATGAGCATCTCCCTGGCCAGCCGGGAATCGAACCCGCTCTGCAGAGGCTGCAGACAGCTTCACAGTACTGCACTCAACCTGTTGAGCCCTATTTACATGTATTATATACACAGACACAGAAGTGTTTTTCCCATGAGGCACAGTTAAGGGCCAGAAAGAACGATTAGCCAGCAACATTTGTCTCCCTTGGGAATGGGATTTGCAAAAAGGTCGGGAACTTCCCCATCTATTTTACACAATTCTGCAATGTTTTCATTCTCTTCCAATAACCATGCATTAGTATCTCAACTTTTAAAAATAAAAGAGACATTCTACTAAAGGTAAAAACAGACCATTCCCCAATAAATGACTTCTTGGTATTGTCCTTTAAGCTCTCGCTACAATCCCAACACTAAATGGGGTTGTTTGTAAGTGCCTAACCCTTAATCTGCAAGATGAGGAGAACAGGAGACACCTGTGCATCAGGAAAACAAGAGAACGAAGGAGCGATGTCACAGCCACACTGGCAAGAACCTCGTTCGAGTCTACAGCGGTGTTATCTGGGTATCTCAGCGCTAGACTAATTTCAGAGAGACAGAAACAAAGACTCACCAGATAAAGGTTATTTTTGTCCTGAAAAGCATACTGTAACTGGGGGATCCAAGGGCTCGTGCTCCGAGATAATATGTTCCGTTCTTCCTCAAAAAATGAAACCTAGGAGAAAAAGAATCACTTTAGACAATTAAAGAACAAAAGGGGGGAGGGTGTGGGAAGAGGACTGTCCTTTCTTCTCTCTTTAGGCCTAAACTGATGTCCATAAGGTCATCAATTTAAAAAAAAAAAGGGTCATCATTTAGCCCAGCATCCACAAATCTCATTCATTCGCCTAGTTCACTCACAGTGTTTGCCAGTTCTGATTATTTACTTAAAGTCCCTCTTTAAATTCTACTCACACATAAATATAAATATCTTTCTCTACCTCTTCCTCTTCCCCTCTCCTTCCTGAACAATTAAAGCCATTAGATGGGTTAAACCAGCTAAGGTTCCACGCCAGGTGGCAGGCAGAGAACCTCACGGGCCAGAACAAGGTGCCAGGGCCAAGCAGGGAGAGGGGAGCAGTAACCTTGTGGGGGGCACCTATTGCAGGGTCACAAGGGCCCTAAGATGAGGAAGGTAACCACAAAAATAGGACGGCCAGGAGTCAGGAGGGGGCAGCAGCAAAGACAGGTATACATGGATGCATAAAATTAGTAATACATTAAAGACAGTGTCAGATAAGAGAGTTACAAACATGGAAAGGGTGAAAACCAGAATAAACCTATGAGCCTAGAGAAGTTGGGTTTGGAGGTGCTGATATGAAGACATGGTTTCCAGCATATTTAGACACAGAAATAAGTACATGCGTGCATAGGAGCTATGTTGTATATATACACTTATCCCTCAGCTCTGTCTCCCAAAGCGTTCTGGAAACAGTGACATCTCAATCTTGTCCTCTCAATACCATTTCTGAAAGGAACAGGGTCCGTGAAGAAACGACTGACTGCAGGGCTGGAGCAGGCAAACAAAAGTACAAAGCTTCTGCATCTTATGTCAGCAAGAAGGGTGCTGAAAAAAAGATAGGGGTATGTCCAAAGAACACAAAAGCTGCCCTGAAGAGAGTCTCTGTGGCCAACTTAGGGACAGTTTTTATATATATATAAATAAATCTTGATGGTAAAGGGTAGTAACTCTGTCTCTTCATATTCACCATGTTAAGGAATGGATGAGTGGCTTTAATTACTCCTGTATGTGTGTGATTAAAAGAAAAAGGGGGAGGGGGCTTGGGGGGACCTTTAGGGTGTTTTTATTTTAAATCACACACATACAGGTCTTAATTAAAGTCACCATCCATTCCCTAAGACAGTGGTTTCACTTACCTGTAAAATATAAATAGCCAAAAAACATGCTGGCAGAACACAGCTAATCTGCTAATCTGGGCAGGCCTCAAAACAAATCTTAGACCTAGTGAAAAACATACTGGTTAGGAGGGAACAGGGGGACGGTAGGGGGGCAGTAGAAGCGGAGGGGTAGGGCAGGGGAGGTTTGGTGGAGGGTGAATGAAGTGTGTGCACAGAAGGAGGAGTAAAAATGTAACCCCAGAGTTACACAGGCACATAAATAACTGCCAAATTAATAAATACATAAACTAATACAGAAATAAATAAAACTACCCAGCCCACACTCACACCCGGTTGTGTCCAGTCACTTGCCCAAGGGAAGGCACCCCCATTGGGACGTCTCAGTTGCCTGCCTGCAACGTGCTGTGTTGGATTACTTTCTCTGCACATGCACTATTTCCCATTTAAAACATAATGGGGCTACATCTAATGGCTCTTCCCAAGGACATAGGAGCCCACCAAATTCAACAGGTGCTCAGGCAGTGGGTACGATGACCACTGGTCCTGCAGCTGGGAGATGAGTTAGCACCCTCAGGTCCCCTCCTCCCCTGACCTGCAGCGTCCTGTCCCAATTCCTCTCTGAAGTTGCTCAGAGTACACTGCTACGTCCAGGCCAGGGCCACATCACTTCTGGACTCTGACAAGCAGTTTCCTCAGCCACTGATCCCAGCCTCCTCCATCAATAAGCCCGGACGGCATCCCTCCAACGAGATTGCAATTCCACACAACTGTCTTTGAGGGAAGGGTGAGCTCCTGCTTATGGGCACAGAGCTTCTCTTTGGGATAGTGATAAAGCTGTAGATATAGCATGGGCATACTTAATACCACTGAACTTAGCACCAACACTAGTTAAAACAGATTTTATATTTCATATATACAAAACTACAGTTTTTGAGATTTCCCACAAATCACCCCCTTCCCACCTGACTGTCCTTATTTCTCCCATTTCTAAACTATTCACATACACACACACTCGCTCTCTCATATCTGAATGCGTTCTAATAAGCCTCCAGATGGCCACCCAGGCCCCTCTTCCACCTGACATGTCCCCGTCTCATCTCTGCCCAGAACTAACATGCCCTGTCTGCACAGGAACTTTCTCTAAGCGTCCCTGGCTCACCCACACCCTCCTCTCGCCATCGTTCATGAGTTTGCAAACTGCCCGTCCCCTCTGGACGCTTTAGCTGGCAGGCGCCTGCTTCATATCCACATCTGCATCCTTCTTCCACTTTCCAAGGTTGTTTTTAAACCCTGAAGCTAACAGCCATGGAGCTCAATTCCTTTTGCAGGCTTCCCACGGAGCCCGGCACATTATCAGACACACGATGTGCACTCGAACGTCTGTAACTAATAAATTACTCTCTGAACTGCAAGGCTGATGGCCGTCTCTCTAGAAACACAGCAAATGAATCAATATGTCTGGAGCAGCCGCCTTGTTTAAAAAGGAGCAAATTACCACCACCAAAGAGATAACTTCTTATCTGCTCTCAAACGAGCAACTCCCTAGCCACGTAACAGTTTAATTTCATCAATGGCCTGTTCTAAAATCAAATATACATGCCCACAATAGAGAGCTGCAAGCAGCGTGCAAAAGCAAACACGCTGACTCCCCCCACCATAAGCGTTTCCCTGGATCCCCAGCCAACGGTCATGACAGATCATCTCAAATTCAGCTGAAAGGCCAAGTTGGTTCTGAATAAAATGCCGCTATAGAACCATGATCAAGGACCACAGGGAGTCTATGTGAGCCTTCAAAAATAGTCCCCATCAGTTCAAGAAGAGCTGAGGCTGCCAGAGCCCTTTCTGCCCATGCAACTGTAATTAATGATCGAATCACACAGGAAAACTTGCTCCATCAGAGAAGCAAGTTCAGCAGATTATCATCTCTGCAAGGAACATTCTGGTACAGAAAGGGGAAAGGCTGTGATAGCAGGATGCTCCTACCTGCTCCTGGGCCAACAAGGCCTTCTTCTTCATGACTTTCATGGCATAGACGTCCCCGGTGGCTCTCTCCCTCACCACCTGCACTTCAGCAAAGTGGCCACAACCTACGAGACTTCGGACTTCAAAGTCCTTGGCCGAAGGCTGAAGTTCCCGTAGATCAGCTATGGTGTCAGAATCTGCCCAAGATGGAAGAGTTATTCAGGTAAATAAAGCACTTCAAATACATGCATCTTTATAAAGCCATAAAAAAAAAAAAAGAAAGAAAAAGTGTTCTTATGTCTTCCCTCACTGTCAAAAGACATTTAGTCACTTTCTCATCCGTCATGAATAATTATAAAATCAGCACAAAAATGTTTTTATATGTTAAGTTAAAATTAAGGGCTCCAGAAATTCCAAAGCACAGTTTCCATGGTAGCTATAATTTGAATTCCGTAGACTTAGAAAATAGGGGAGGGAGAGGCGTGCATTTCTTCCTCTTCTCTGAAGTCTGCAGGGAAATATGTGGTCAAAGGTTTTATCAGCATTTAGACCAATTTATAAATGATGCAAGCAATATGATTCCCATCCTCAATCAACTCTGGAGTCGTCTTCCCAATCATTCCTTTCTGATTATAGTGTACTGCTCAGTTTTCTCCCACTAGCCCATTTTCCATTTTCTCTTCCTTGCATTGTGCAACAGGGATGCCTTCTGCCTTCCTGTGTGGGAAGGCTACCAAAAAAAAAAAAAAAAGGATTCATCCAAAGAACCATGTCATACATCTGGACATGTCATAAATCTGGAAGGGTTTGCAGCTACCTTTATCTTAACTTAGAGTGTTATTCCTTTGCCTAGTGAAAGCTCTCAGGCAGTATCTTAGCCTGCTCAGGCTGCTATAAGAAATTACCATAAATGAAATGGATTAAACATTTATTCCTCTTAACTGGAGACTGGGAAGTCCAACATCAATGTGCCTGCAGATCCAGCTCCTGATGAGGGCCCATATCTCAGTGTCTTCACAAGGCAGGAAGAGGGAGAGCTCTGGTCTCTCTTGCTCTTCCCAGAAAGATGCTAATGTCGTAATAAGGGCCCCACCCTTACAATATCATCTAAATCTAATTACCAAAAGCTCCACTTCCAAATACCACCACACTGGGGGCTGGAGCCTCAACACAGGAATTCATGGGGGACACAAACAATGAGTCCAAAAGAGCTGGAGATCTTCAGTCAGTGAAGTATGGACCACATGGATGACAGACTTGGAATTTAACACACATTCGTTAATGCCCTAAGGACACATAGCCCAGGCATCACTGGATATGGAGTGACACTGATGTCTGGATGGAGGAGTGAGCTGTGACTCCAGAAAAATCCAATCCTGCACATTACAGGGACCATATACTGGGATTACATTCCAAAGGAAGACAAAAGAGACATGTAATTGAAATTATCCAGAACCCCTCAGAAAGGTGCCACACTGAAAACCAAGAGGCTGTCTTGAAACCCCACGAGGGCGCTGGAATCCTCTGGGCGTGGAGGGCGAGTGCCATCTCTGTGGCTGGGACCAGAGTGTACCCTCTGGGAGGTACACTCAGCTTGGCATGTTGTTCACGCTAGCAGAGTGACTGAGTCCAACAGAGGGAAGAGCCATTTAGTACCCATCGTCATCAGGTGGCACAAAGATGAATTAATCAGTGCTTAATTGTTATTACCCCTCCCCTTGTTTTGCTGCGTGGGTGGAGCTAAATCCACTTGGATCAGTGAAAATGTCAAGGACCTTGTGAGATAAACCAGGACTAGCCTAATAATCGAGTTGAAATTGCTTAACTTTACTGAGACCTCACTCTGTACCAGGCACTTCCTACACATTCTCATTTAATCCCAGAACAACCCACTGTTGGGCCACCCTGGTAGCCCAGGGGTTAAGTCTTAGGGTTATCACTGCTTTAGCCTGAGCTCGATCCCAGCCAGGGAGCTGACCCACATAGCACAGCAAACCTCTCCTATCTTACCGCTGCTCCCCTCAGCAGTGTATTTCAGTAGATTCGCCTGTTCTGCTCCCCTTTGTCTCTAGTGAATCCTCTCATTCCCTGTACCTCTGGCCTACACCCAGTTCTTCTATACACACACACACACACAAATATATATATGTAAACCTTTGGATCTAGGGGGCAAAAGTCAATACAGCTGAATGCATTGCTTCCTTTTTTAAACTAGGTAATCCAACATTTCAACTTCTAGGAATTCAACCTTCAAGGGAATACCTGCAGGATAAGATGCAAAGAGCCATGCTCATGATGAGTGCTGCTGTCACAGGAAGAGTCAGACAAACTCAAGGCCCATCCACCGGAAAGCGGAAGCAGCCTAAAAGTCCGCCAAGGTAAAAGAACATTCGGCATACATTTAAAAGAAGAAGGTAGCTCCTTTACCACACAATATAGATTCTTAAGGGTGGGGATTTCTGTCTGTTTTGACTATGACTGTAAACCCAGTAGCCAAAACAGAACCTGGCACAGAGTAAGTACTCCATAGATATTTGTCAAGTAAATATATTGCTAAGTGAGCAAAACTACGTGTATGATCCATCTGTATAAAATTAAACAAGAATAATATTAGAACACGCATAATTTCTAGAGCTGGCTGACTGTACATGAGGGTTCATTAGGCTCATCTCTTTACCTTTAGATCTGTTTGAATCCATAATAAATATTTTTATGGACAAAAGTGATTTAGGACTTTCATAGGCCCTAGGCACTTCTGCCTCTGTCAGCCCTTCCTGAAGATAAAAAAATCAAAAATTATATTTTATGACTGCAATGGTAAAAAGTGGAATACATTACACATATATTAGTACACAATAATACATTATTATTATAGGCATATTTTTCTTAGAACTTTAAAATAAATTAAAACTAAATTGATTAAAATAAATGCTATGCGGTAAAATTAAATATTGTGGGCCCTAAGTACCGTGCCTACCATGACTATCAGAGAATTGATCCTGAGAAAGAGTAAGAACAGGGTCAAGGACACCATTCAAGTCCTTGGAATCAGACTGAAGTTAGACCCATCCCTGGATTTTCCATTTCGTGAGCCAATCAATTCACTTTTGGGCCTAAGTTTGTTTTAGTTGAGTTTCTGTCACTTGCAACCATGAGGCCTCACTTTTTCCAGTCTCCTGATCTTGAAGCAGGTGTCTGTCTGACTCAGAGCAGAGCGCTTCCCCAATGCTACCAGCCACTAACTCATTCTGCCTTTGGCAGCCTTCCCATCTTCTCGATTTTCAGGAAAAAGTTCTCCAAACTTACACTTCCGGACAAAGTTGCTCACATGTTTGATCTTCATCAGAGCAGGCTGACTGCACTCTTCGAAGAGAACAAAGAGGGCATCTAATATCCCTTCTCGGGAAAGAGGAGACATCTGCTGTTGAGTCATAAAGGGTGGTTTCCCCTAAAAACAGCAAACAGCAGATGGAGACACTGTCAATAATGAAAAGCTTTGATCAATAACATCCACACAGAGTAAATTATAAGCCACCAACTCAACTAACTGCTCACGACACACGCTAACAGCACAATCCTGTGGCTTCATTCCTTAAAGCGACATCAACGGACAGTCAATAAGTTATCACTCATGTGATTCTATTACTAAGGGTTTCTTTCACCAGCGCCTTGGAAGAAAAATATCACAAGCATGTCATTAATAAGAAAAGGGCCTCCCTTCTTGATGGTATGAGGCGTGTGGAAACATTCACTCTGGACCCTTGTGGTTCTGATGTGTTTCCATGTCTCTACAGCAGGAAACTATGATTGCCACTTCTTTCATGTGGCCCCAAGCTTGTTGATATAACTTTATTTTCTTTAATTCACTCTGACAATCGCCAGTGAATGGAGTGACACACTAAAGCTGAATTTACTCCTGATGGAGAGCAACAGTTGCAAACCGGCAGACTGTATCTAGCCCACAGACATGTTTTGTTTGGCTTGTAGTATTTAAAATAATTTTAATTATATGCCAATATTGAAAAATCAGGAGATTGGATCAAAAAAGAAAAAGGGTAGAAGGATTTTCTGGCTTCTCTTGAAACAATGGCAGACCTACCAGCACCGCTCCTACTCCTGCCTGGTGACGGGTTTGGCAGATGTGTTGTACACTTGACTGCAGACCTGACTCAGTCTTCCATCTGGCTCACTTCACTCATTTATACTCACACCTGGGCCCCAAAGAAATGAGATTGCACCCCTTGCCCACAGCAGTGATCCCCACATGCCAAGCTATGGACCGTACAGCCATCTCTCTGCAAACATAGCCACAAACAGTTCTCATTCTTAAGGCACTTGTCATTGCTCCCATCGAAAGCTGAAGTCTATTTCTCTCTTGAATCTCTGACACAGGCAGTCCTGTGCCAGTTCAGGGCAATCCTTAAGCAGCTTCTTCTGTTGCTCTTTTGGGAAACCAGGTGCCATTTAAAGATATTTGGGCTAGACCAGAGATCAGCAAACTATGGTCTATGGACCAAGTCAGGCCCACTACCTGCTTTATAAATAAAGTTTTATTGGCACACAGCCACACCCATTCATTTACATATTGTCTGTGGCGACTTTGGAGGTTGCAATGACAGAACTGAACAGTTGCAATGGAGACCATACGGCCCACAAGAAGTGTGTGTGTGTGTGTGTGTGTGTGTGTGTGTGCAGAAAAAATTACCAGCCCTGAGCTAAACTACTGAATAGCAAAAGTACTCATAGAGGAGAAAGGCCAGGTAGAAGACTGAGTTGCTAGTGTTAACAGACAGCATCCGAATGTTCCAGTCCCAGTCAACCTCCCAACTGAATAAGATGACAGTGACCCCAGCTGAGGTCACAGAATAGAAAACCAGATCTGCCTGGTTGAATCCAACCAGCCCACAGAAGCCTAAGAAAAAATAATCATCGTGGCTTTGTGGCACTCACTTTTTGAGTGCTTACACTGGAATCACTAGAGGACTTTAAAAAAAAATAGATTCTCTGGTCCTAGCTCCAAGCTGCTGAATTAGAATTTTCCAGGTTGTAGCTTAGAATCTGTTTTATTCACCAATTTCCCCCCAAAATTCTGACCTTAGTCAGGCAGGGAAAGCACTGGGTCACTAATCCTATCTAGTGGGTAGTTCACCACTAACCGAAAAAGATGAACTCTTTTCTTCTGTTCTTCAATGAATTTAGACTAGAGAACATTTCCTGAAGACAGTCATGCATCTTAACAAAGTTTTCAAGTGTGCCATGAAATGAGAAAAAAAAGACCACCACATAATGACTCTTATAAAGCTCAGTGTATTCAGATTGGATAACAGTTCTTCATTCTGAATTGTCCCTCCTCTCTCAGCGTTTCTTGAGTGTCCTTCATTTTTAATAAAAGGACCAGAAGATAATAGATTTTTCTGTTTGTCTGCTTGTTTCTTTACCTCTGTTACATGGCAAAATAACAAGCTAGCAAACTTAGGGTGACCCTGCAAATTTGTGAAATTTTGCTGGCTCAAAAATCTAAAAGTCTGCTAAGCAATAATGTAGAACGCGTTGGGAAGTCGTGTTAAGCAGGAGGAAAAAGACAAACTGAGACTCAGTCTCAAGTACTGACCTGAACAGAAAGCAAGTAATAGCTTTCCTGGGGACATGGAAACTCACCATTAAAGAGATGAATTGGGGACATACCCTTTCTGTTATGACATTGAAATATAAGATATATAAGATGCACCAAATACACTCTGACCTATGTGGCAGTGTCACCCAGTGGTTACACGCCCAGGTCTTGGAGTTAGACAGACCAGAAAGGGAGCCTGGCTCTGCCACTTGCCAGGCAAGTCCTTGCCTCCCTAGGTGTCCCCTCCTATTTAAAGAGTAAATGAGAATAGTCCCCTCCCCGTTATGAGGCTGAAGAGACATAAGCAGGAAACTGGAAGTCACAGTTATCATATAACCAGCACATTATGAGCACGTAAGTGATTCTTTTGTAATAAGCTGGACAAGTTTTGAAATAAACTAATAATCAGGTGAAAAAGTGACAGCGTCCAGCCAGCTAATGTGAAAAAGATCTTATGCCTCAAAATGGCCACCAGGATGGTCTCACAGGACAACCTAAGTTTTCCACTGTGATCTGTATGAACATTCCCCAATACCAATATTCTGGGGAGAAAGTCATCATATTAATATTAATCACCACACAGATATTCTACATAAATACCTTCCTAAATATAAGTACTGTTAAGTGAAGAAAATCTATTATTACAATAAATTCTACACTTGGTGTTAACAAGAGTTCTCATTTAGGGGCTTCCCCGGTGGCCTAGGGGTTAAGTCTCAGCGTTATCACTGCTACAGCCTGAATTCAATACCCAGCCAGGGAGTGGAGCCACATAGGGTGCAGCAGACCTCTCCTGTCTCGCCCACTGCTCCCCTCAGCAGTGTATTTCAGTCAGTCTGCCTGTTCTGCTCCCCACTCGGTCTCTGGTGAATCCTCTCACCCCCCGCACCTCTGGCTTATACCCCAGATCTTCTATACACAAATAATTTTTTAAAGAGTTATTTATACCAAGAGCCATCATTTATTTATCAAGAGCTGGGCAAGGGTTAAGAGCTTTATAAGGATATTCTCATGTAATCCTTATAAACACTCTGTGAATTAAGTAACATAAGCTCTATCTTTAAGAGTGGAAAATGAAGCCGGAGGAGGCAACTGACTCACCCAACGAAACACGGCTAACAAGTGCTGAGGCCAGGATTCAAACCTTAATCCTCATCACTAATTATATTGTCGGCCTCCACCCCTGACTTATGCACACATAAGTCAAACAAGAATTTCTTTTTTTTTTTATACTTTTTTAAAGATTTATTTAATTTAATTTATTTATTTATACAAGCACTGGGTACAGTCAGAAGCACGGGAGGGTGAGAGAATTCACCAGAGCCAGAGCGGGGAGCAGAACAGGCAGAAGGACCAAAGTACACTGCTGAGGGGAGCAGCGGGCGGCAGGAGAGGTCTGCGCGCCACGTGGGACCTTCCTCCGGTGGCCGGGGAGCAGCCGGGGATCGAACCAGTGCTGCAGAGGCTGCGGGCAGCTTCACAACCCAGCGCTCAACCGCTGCGCCACCGGGGAGGCCCCAAACAAGAATTTCTATACCAAGTGATCCATCTACATCAGAAACAAAAGAATTGGAAGTCTACTTGGAAACAATCTCATGGAATTAAGTTTTAACACTTCTGGGGTAATGGAAAGTGGAGGAATGTGGGTTTCACAGGTGTATTTATCAAAATTTGTTTTGTTTCTTAATTCAAAAACATAAGCACCCCTGAAGCTGAAACAGATTTACACCTCCAGAAATCTTGGCCAAGAGTACTTTTGTTGATTTTTATTTTCTTTATACAAAGACGAACTTAGTAGAGTGTGAAGAGTGAGAAATGATTAAAAATATCTCCATTGAAGGGCAAGTTCAACATCTACTCCTATCTGTCTGGTAGATACTTTTACCACTACTGTCAGTGAACACAAGACACCAAGTGTTAGCCCTTATTCACCCTTTTTGTAAGACAGGAATATTAGCTTCAGCCCAACGACAAAAACAAAAGTGACAAGGACGTTCCAAGGAAACAAAGACAAGGAAAGCTGGCAGGCAACTCATACCTGAAAGAAAAGATTCAGCCTGGAGGCACGGCTGGCGATGGCTTCTGCAGCACCGGCATCCTGTGGGGTCCGTGCCCCATACTTGAACTTCAACATCTCCCCACTGGTGCTGAAGGGAGACAGGAGAAGGTCAAGTGTGTACTCCCAATTTGCCCAAGGAGGGTTTGAGCCGTCCTGATTGAGCCCCCAAGATTACCAGGGAGAGGGAGGTGAAAATCAGTCACCACATGGATTTTGGGAAGCTCAGGCTGGCAATGGGGATTAAAACCCAGATCTCAATTCACTATGATAGGTAATATACTTACCTGACATACTCTCACAAATTTATCATCTGTGGAGCCTCCCTATGGAGCAAGGGGTTAAGACACAACCTATGAAGCTGTCCGCAGCCACGGCAGCCTGAGTTCGATCCCCGGCCAGCCAGGGAGCAACCCCCATGGCGCAGCAGACCTCCCTTGACTTGCCTGTTCCTCCCCTCAGCAGTGTATTTCAGTCAGTCTGCCTGTTCTGTTCCCCGCTCTGTCTCTGGTGAATCCTCTCACCACCACCACCCCCCCACATCTCAGGCCTGTGCCCCAGCTCTTGTATGCATAAATAAATCTTTAAAAAGAATTTAAAAAATAAAAACAAATTTATCATCTGTGCCTCTGTCTCCCACACCCCCCACTTAGAATGTCAGCTTCACAAGAGCAGGGATTTTTGTCCTCACGACAGTGGGGACACATAACTTAGAACATACTGTTGCTAATACTTAATTATTGAAAGGACAATTCAAATAAGCAAATACATCGGGAAGTGATTTAAATGCTGTGGGGTGAAAAAATGAGCAAGAGGAGGCCAGTTGGGGCTGTGTGTGGCACAACTGTTTACCAGGTGGCAGAGCAGGCGGCACGGAGACAGCAGCCTCTGACCCGAGCAGCAGCCTGGCTGGCACCTGGGCACAGGCAGGCAGCCCGGCCAGGGGGAACCGCCAGGACGAGGTTCTGGAGCAGGGCCTGGCCGTCTCTTACAACAGCAGGGGGGTGGTGCGCTGGGGCAGAAGGCGCCCCTGGAAAGAGGGGGTGACGGGTGGGGCCAGGAGTGTGACGACACCCAAGTAAACTGCTGTGCGCCCACAGACAATGCCGGCTCCGCTAGACCCAACAACGCAGCACCGCGGCGAGGCAGGGCAGAACGCACGCAGGCCGCCCCGGCACCTGCGAGGAGCGACTCCCCGGGCACCCCCGGGCACCCCCGGCACCCCAGGGCAGGCCCGTCACGCCCGCGGAGGCCGCGCCCCGCCAGCCTGCAAGTGCCCGCGACGGGGGGGCTGGGCCGTCGCCCCATTCTCGCAGCGGGAGGGAAGGCCGCGGGGGTGGGGGGTGGGGGTCAAGGGGATGGGGCTGGGGGTGGGGCCAGACTCACGCTCAGCGGACCCCGCCGTCCGCGTTCCGCTCCGCCCTGGCTCCCGCCGCCGCGTTTGAACCCGTAATGGCGTGGGGCGGGGCCCAGCCGCCTCTGGGCTAATCAGCGTGCCGGTTCCTTGTGATGGACAGCAGCGTCTCGGGCCGGCCCCGCCCAGATCCCTAAATGGACGGCGGAAGTGAAAGGAAAAACCAATCAAATTGCTGCTCCCTTGACTGGCGGCCAATGAGAAAGGGGCAGGCGCACGCGGGGCGGGGCTGAGCCGGGAAGTTTGAAAGTGGCGGTTGAGCCGGGTGGGTGCCGGGACGGTCTGGCCGCATCCCCGGGGATGTCGCCGGGCGGTGTCCCCTCCTTTTGTGGCCGCCCGCGAGAAGCCCGGCAACCACGCCGGGAGTTTGAACTTCGACCGGGTCACTGCGTCTTCGGGCTGACGGTCCTGCCACGACTAGGTGAAGGTATTGACCCCGTCTGCAGGGACATTTTAGAATCAAAGACAAGAAATGTAAACAGGCGCTTCAGGGCCTCCCTGGCGGCGCAAGGGGGGAAATTGCAACCTATGAAGCTGTTCGCAGCCTCTGCAGCAACAGTTGGATCCCCGGCCTTGCAGGGGGCTACCCACAGGGCGCGGCAGACCTCTCCTGTCTCGCCCGCTGCTCCCCTCAGCAGTGTATTTCAGTCATTTGGCCTGTTCTGTACCCCATTCTGTCTCTGGTGAACCCTCTCACACACCCCCCCACATCTCAGGCCTGTACCCCAGTTCTTGTATGCATAAATAAATAAATCTTTAAAAAAATAAAAAAATAAACAGGCACAGGCACTTCACTACAAAGGAAATCCAGACGCCCCAGATGCCCACCCAGGTAGGAAAAGGTGCTCAATCTCATACATAATCATGAAATAAAAATAAAGCCCCAATGAGATACTGTAACAGGCACCCTGCCTAGTGGGGGCCAAAGGGAGGTTAACAGTGTTTCAAAGTAGCTACATGCATTCACACATAGCTGATGGGTACGTGAACTAGTACTGTTTCTTTGAAAAATATTTTGGCACTATTTGCTAAAATTGAAGATATGCACATTTCTATGACTCATGTGGACAAGAATGTACAAATACTATTGTGCAACATAATGGTTAAAAAAAAAAAAAACCCTGGCAGCAATCCAAATGTCTATCAGCAGTGGAAAGGATAACATTTTATATTGCAGTATCTTCATACAGTAATGAGAAGGAATATACTACAGCTGAATACAATGAAGTAATGAGTTTCAAAACAATGTTGAATGAAGGAGGTAAGACGATAGAATAAATATGTGTTTATATTTGTTAAATATTTATTTATTTGTTAAGTATTTGTTAAGTATTCATTTACTTATGCACACAAGAGCTGGGGTGTAAGCCATAGGTGCGGGAGGGTGAGAGGATTCACCAGAGAAAGAATGGGGAGCAGAACAAGCAGATCTACTGGGGAGCAGCAGGCGAGACAGGCGAGGTCTGCCGTGCCATGTGGGTTTCTCCCTGGCCAGGGATCAAACTCAGGCTGCAGTGGCTGGGATAGCTTGATAGCACTGTCTTTAACCCCTACGCCACCAGGAAGGCCCAATATCAAAATATTTAAAGGAGAAAACAGACCTTTCTGTACTCTTCTAGAAGAGTACAGAGATAGAACTGGCGATGTGTTATCACATATATACATCAATCGGTACAAAACCAGGTACATTTACTATACTTTTTTCTCCAAATACAACTTTCCCTTTGTCCCTGAGACCATAATGATAGCTATATTTTATCACGTCCCCCCCTCCTTGTCATTTTCTCATTTAATTTTTCCTACAATCTTGGAAGAAAGGAGTTTTGACAGATTGGAAAGATAAAGCTGAGAAAGGTGGAGTGACTAATCTTGGGTCATTCCCCTTTAGGTGATGGAGTGTGGCTTGGAACTTTTGGGCTTTCTGATTTCAAGTTCTTTTCTCTCCCCAGAGCCTGCTTCTCAGAAGACAATAGAAATGCTCCCAGCCTCAGCTGATGTCATGTTGCAGGGATCCACCCAGTCCAGAAAAAATGTTTGAAAATAAGGAAGACTTCTAAGGACATGTGAGAGGGTTACCAGGTGTGAGGAGGGCATAAGGAAGAGAGATGTAAAATAAGTCAGAGCCTGCTGTTGACCTGATTTAAGGACCTTCAGAAAGGTGTGACTATGGATATAGTCAATGCTCCTGTTGATTTTTCTAGTCCAGCCAGTGCCATTCATTAGCTTCCAGGTATCAGAAATAGAAGTCTTCCCCAGAATCTTGGGACATGTCCATTCCAAATAACAGCACTGTTTTTGTACCGCCTGGGCCTGCCTAGATAGTCCTCTCATTCCCGGTCAGAACCATCACTGGCCTCTGCAAAATAATCCTTTGTGAAACAAGACAGGAAATAAACAATAAAAATTAAATGGCTGGAGACACACAAAGCAAAAACCACATTAACTCCTCTAATTTGCTTTCAGAAGTAGTTGCTGCACAGAAATTATATGGGGAAAGAGAACAAGAAGGGACCAACAGTGGCTGGGCCAGTAGGGAAAAGATCAGACACTGTCAAATAGAATGAGCTATCATGAAAACAAGACTAACAGGAAACCTAGACCTTGTGTTTGTTCTTGCACAAAATGAAACAGTGACCAGCCTACGCTGCACATGAATTCATGCTGATGATAGTGAGGGGATGCTGGGAAGACATCCTAGCTGTGAGTCATAATGAAGGCCATGATGATGTTCTTGCATTCAATCATTTGTTCAAAAAACATTTATTGTGCCAAGGACTGGGAGTACCAAAATGAACAAGACACCATTCTTGTCTGTTCCTGCAAAGCTAAATATGGTGGGGAAAGAGGGCTGTAAACAAACAATTATGGGGCACTGTGATAAGCTCTTGTAGCAGTAGAAACCACTAGGACAGTGGCAAGCAGGGAAGGCTCAGGCAGGCGGTATCTGACAGCAAATATACTAAACATGAAAACAGAAGAAATGAAATTGCGCTCAGCGCATTCAACAGGGAGTTAACACAAGCAGAGAGGCACTAAGGCACCCAGAAGAGATAGAAGGCATGGCTGCAATACTCCAGCTAGACTTAGGGGAATGTTAAGAATTGTGCAGACCACCCCTCCCTACCCCCCACAAGGACAGAAAAAGAATGTGAGAGGCTAACCTCATTCTAGATATAAAGAGACAAAGTTATGCTGGTGCCTTTGGCAGGAAAAAGTTGTGCAAGCTGATTTAGCAGGAGATAACTTCTAAATAATGAAAATAACTGAAATGACTTCTAAATAATGAAAACACAGTTAGCCGAGTGCTTTCTAAGAATAAGCCATAACTCAGGTTTGGCCTATTTTCACCAAGATGTGTTCCCACTGCTGGTATGAGAGACACTTTCAGGTCACACACAAATGTCACTTATTTTATAAATTGTGTGTTTTATCATGAGTTAGGGAAGATTACAGCTGGTCCATCAAACCACAGATTTCATAAGTGATTTCCCTTGGGATGAGGCTAAAGGAAGTTTTTTTAAATTTTTTTTTATTTTTTACATCATTGTTCATTTTTAAACATTTGCTTCCCCCCACCCCTCAGGTGGAGTCGCCATAGAGTTTCCTTCCCCAATGCACCCGTGCACCATCACCTCAGTCCCCTGTGCTCCTCCCTCCCTCCCTGTGATCCCTCTCCCTCTTCCTTCCCTGCAGAATGTCTCTGATTTATAATTGTCTGTTTTTGGTTTGTTGTGATTTGTACTGTTATTCTTTTTTTACACTGATGTCTTATTTGGTTCCCCTATATTCCTGCTATAAGTGAAACTATCCGATATTTTTCTTTTTCCTTCTGGCTTATTTCACTGAGCATAATTCCTTCTAGCTCCATCCATGTTGCTGCAAATGGCATGAGTTTATCTTTCTTGATTGCTGAATATTATTCCATTGTGTATATGTGCCCCATCTTCTTGATCCAGTCATCTATTTTTGGGCATTTGGGTTGTTTCCAGGTTTTACCTATTGTAAATAGTGCTGCAATAAACATAGGGGTACAGGTGCTCTTTTGAATCAACGTTTTTGTGTCCTTGGGGTGGATCCCTAGGAGTGTGAATTGCCGGGTCATATGGTAGCTCCATTTTTAGTAGACTGAGGAACCTCCAGACGGCTTTCCATAGCGGTTGGACCAGTTTGCACTCCGACCAGCAGTGTAGGAGAGTTCCTTTTTCACCACATCCTCGCCAACATTTGTTGTTGCTAGTTTTTTTGATATGTGCCATTCTTACTGGTGTAAGGTGGTATCTCAATGTGGTTTTGATTATAAAGATGTGGTTTTGATTCTCTGATTATAAGGGATGTTGAACATTTTTTCATATGCCTGTTGGCTGTTCTCATTTCTAAGAAGAAAATGAGTCAATAAAGAAAATGTTGACTCAACACTAGAGTGAGTGGTATAAGGACATAGCTTTAAAAAGTCTTGAAATTTGAGAAATCCACCATTTAACCTCTTTGAGTCTAAATATACGCCTAGTTATTGTAATATTTAAGAGCTAAGAGATGTGAAAATGCTTCCTAAAATCCAAAGCCCGCAACTCACAGACTGGTAGAAAACATTTGTAAATTACATACCTCATAAGGGACTAGTATTCAGACAGTATAGAGAATTCACACAACTTAACCAAAAAAGTAAAAGAGACAAATAACCCAATTTAAACATAGA